CGCACACACACACACACATGATGCGCAAAACTCAGTAGTAGCAAATACTTAAACTAATAACAAAACTGTAGCTGATTCAGAAGCGCCAGATTGTCATAGCAAAGTGAGAATTACCTCCTCTCCTAGGTTCATGAAACGGTCGTCCATAAAATGCATTGCTGTTCTGTTGTAAGTAATCTTAAAGATTCCTAAATGCATCTACTTTCGGAAGGCCAAATAATGTGCTTTTGCTTTCGCCTAGAAACACACAGCGTCTCCCTGACATGGCTGCTTCAACACTAACTGCGGTTACTGAAACCACGCCTTCTTTCTTTGCGTGCACATTTGGGCGGCATTATGCAAATATTTCCACATAGTGAGGTAGATATGTGGGGGCGTGTTAGAACGAGCCGTTTTAGGGGGGCGTGGCAGAGTCTTAACTTTGATGAAGAATATCTCTTTGGTTTTGAGACTTTAGTCTTTGCAACTTCAGGGATCTTATCTATGCACAATCAGCTTGAAACACTCCAAAGAGAAAGGAAAACTTGAAATCACATCATATGACCCCTTTAATTCAAAGGCTAAACAAGATTATTTTTCTTACCCCACTGGCAGATATTTCAGCTTGTTTTAAGCAAAAACTAACACTTACTTAGGAAGGAAATATTTATGAGGCAACGCTCTTCATCAAAATATTGAGAAGAATCGCGGCGTTGCGCGAGAGCGGTGACGTCACGGCCCCGGGTTTCGCGTCATGGCGGAGACCGGCTGGTGTAGGATTCACAGCTGAAATATGCCTGCTATCCCATCTGTTTCCCGGCTCATGGAATACAAAACACTGCCTAGCGTCTAAACCCAAGGCACTCTTGACCGTGGAGGGGAAAACTCAGAAACCCATCTCTTCAGAATAAAGTCTAAAGAGTGTTTGTGTGGAGTCCCCGAGCGACAGCGGCTATCGGCAGAAAGAGCCCAAAGCAGCGCAGGGCAGACAGGTAATAACAGAGAAAACACCTTCAGTATGACCAACGAGTGTGTACGACGAGATGGACCTGGCTGAGAAACCGACCCTGGCTGGGTATTCACTGGTAGATGTTTGTATACGGTTCGCGATGCTGTCTGTATGTGCCAGTGTTAAGGGCTAATGAAAACAAACTGAGCGGCGGATCTACAGAAGCGCAGTGCGGGAGTCAACAACAGCGTGAAGATCAGACAGCATTACACTGAAAACAGCCGAAACCTCCGATAATAATACGAAACCCACAAGTTCATTGGTACAACTGTTTGTTTTAGGTGCTTAAGACGAGCCCGCTAAATGCAAAGCAGAATGTCCCATAAAAATCATGCTCATTTAGCTTAGCATGCGAGATAACTGGGTAAACAAATAAATAAGTTAAATTGGGAAGATTCTCTCGAAATATGGTAAGGATGTTACTATAGTATTAATCTAATCTAGATTATGTCTTGGGGTACTCCAGTAGCGTGACCGTGTTAGCGACCGGTAGCCAAACAGCTAACACACGCTTCTCTATTAGCGGTAGCATGCTAAGCTAAGTTAGCCTGTTCTGCTACAACAGAAAGAGGCTGATGAAAGATTTGAAATGTAGCGCCAATCCAGCACTGCTAGTGGGGCGAATGATCAAAACATAGTCTCAAACTGTGGTTTTATGATGTGAAACGTAATTTTTAGTCCGGATAAACTTCATGACAACGGGTATTTGTAAACACCCCGACGGTATTCCGCGCATGTGCCCGAGCGTAGCGCTGCTTCAGGGCGCCGCACAGTCCAGGAGAGTCCGCGGCTTTTTAGGCCTGGACCCTAGAGGCCTCTGCGGTCAACATCACGCTGATCGCTTTCATTCATTAATCGGTGCTAAATATTTTGCTTTACATAAGAGTTCTGTACGATTCATATGTAGATTTTACGTGGAGACAAGACATGTGGTTTGCCGCTGAAGTAAATTTAGCCTTTTTCTGTTATTGGTGTAGTGTTTTGAAGAGGGGAAGTAGAGAAGTAATTCTCTCTAAGAAGCATTTGCTGATATAGTGCACTCCAGCAACGTTAAGACCACAATATTAAAGAATAAACTAATAATATACATTATGTGCGTAAACAAATGATGTTACCAAGTTACAAATTTCTACACTGAACACATGTGCAATGCATTCCTGCTACTGTGTTTACAATAGCAAACAAAATGCAGACCTTCCTATATAAATACTTTTAGTGTGACATTTCTGAAAACCAGCTGGTAACTTGTTTCAGCACCAATGTTTCGTGTTCATTTCAGTTCCTCAGACTTCTTTATGCTGTAGTCTCTTAGAAAGAAATCAGTGATGTTTACTGGCAAACATAAGATAAGTCACCTTGATAAAAACATTCCTTATGTATGAGTTTCTGTTCTAATCACAACTTAACTTTTTTTTTTAGGTGAGCTGCTCTGAAGTGGCGCACACAGACTGCAAGGATCTCATCAGGGACTAATCTGTAATATTTGATTGCGATGGATGGACGCAGTGAGGATGAAAGTGTCAGCAACAGCAGCGGAGAGTCCAGGTAATCATAATACATTGGTTTTGATGTTAACTAATTGTAAAGTAATAATTTGTCTGAAAATGAAAATTGTGGCAGTTGAGACATTTGCATAGATTATATTCAGATTCCATTTACTTTTGACGTACCGCCAGCATCTGGTGTTTGACAGCAGGCTTTTTACATCAGAGCATTGAATTCTAACCTTGTACTTGCTCAAGCTGTTTGTTCACACATGCTATCAGAATAAACCTTTACATGTGCTTTTTGGGATGAGAGGAGTTGATTTGTATGCCAGACTAATGGTCACTTTAGTTGTCAGCAACACCTTGTAACTTACACATTCCTCCATTCTTTCTGAGTCTGTTTCTCCAGACTTGTTTGTCAGTCATCCATGATTTCAGTTTTTTTTTTTTTCATTCTGCAGTCGATGTTTTGCCTAATCCAGGTCATTGTAGTGCTAAACATGTGGTACGACTGGAAAGTGCTATAGACTTAAATTATCAGTGAATAATGAAGCATGAATAACATCATACTTTGCTCGTCGTCTTACATGCACAGTGTGTGAAAGTAGGAAGAAACATGCAAGACCTGTGAAATGATTTAGATAACTGCTTTTTTTATTGCGTTTATTAATATTTAATTATTTTAAAGTGACATTAACATGATAGTAGTTGAGCGTAGTCTTTGCAAAATGTTAAAAGTTGAAAAGTGTCATGGAAAACAATTTTTAACCGATTAGTTTTTCTAATGCATGCTAGCTAGCAGCAGTACTGTTTAGTTGACTAGTCTCACAAATCCCTAGTCCTCTTTCATCAGTAATCTACTATAGAGCCTAACCTGTGTTATTTTGCTGGATAAGCATGCATTGCCATCAAAAATGAATGTATGATTTGTACTATGTAATTATTAAATTTTCTAGTATGTATTTAATTAAATTTTATTTTAGGGTGACTTGTAACATCTTGTCCAGGAACTACGGATGTAAAAATAGCCTTTGGCTAATTCTGGTACATTTACAGGAATGTTTTATTAATGTACAATGTCCTTGTCAACTAAATAAAGTAAAAAAAAAAATATATATAGCACATTCACTTTTTTTGATCATTGTATGTTCTAATCACACAAAATGCTATCAAGTAGTATCCTGCTCAAAATGATCAGCATTTAAATGTGCAAATGATGAGGAATTGACTCGTCGTGCGTGCTTTTGTGTCTCAGTAATTCAGATGATGAGTCTGGGTCAGGATCGGGTTCTGGCTCCGGCTCGAGTTCAAGCAGCAGCAGTTCTAGCAGTAGCCACTCAGGGAGCAGTGACTCAGGAAGCGGCTCGGATTCTGGAAGCCACTCGGACTCGGAGAAATCCAAGGAAAAGAATGATCAAGACAACAAAATCGATGGAGCAGCGGTAAACTTCATAAAGCTTTTGTGTAAAGTTGTCAGATGCAAGGTGGGGTAGTGCTACTTTTATGCTTATAAAGTCCACATGAAATCAAAAGTGACCTCATTATTTCACATATAAAACAGTGAACGTTTAAAGAAAGTGAAAGATTAAAATTATAGATGAGGATAAGGGAAATCAAAGGCACAAACCAAATGTTAACTGGTAAGAGGTAGAATGTTCTACTACAGGAACGCATGTTAATGACATTTCGTTACCTTTTTAAAATAAGGTTGTTTATACACAATTAAATGTTATCCTGTTAACTTGTGTTACATGTAGAAATGTAAAGCAATTTCAGTAACAAATTTTAGCATATTACTGTCACTGCTCATACTGGCACTCAATCAGTGAAGTTGAACGGAAGTTCACTTGCTGTTAGATGAGCCTTCATGCACAATGGAAATAGTCATTTTTAGATAAGTTATAGCTACATATCAGGTGCTTTGACAGAAATGGCAACTTGCATTAAATTAAATATTTCATTTACATAATACATAGGTCGCAGTTACCTTGCAGGCAAATATTGTGCACTTTGCTTTTTGTATCCGTTTAAATAAATCACCACCTTTTGCGGTTTGATAAGGGCACTAAACCATATCGTGCTTTCGATTTTAGTTCGTTTGAAGATGTTTGCTTTATGAAACCGTGGCGGGTGCCAGATTCTAGCTAATTAATGGGAAACACTGAGTAGGCACTTCACAGGGTTTTGGAACAGAACCTTTGTTTGTAAGTGTTTGAAAATGTCCCTGTTGTTGTAACTCCTTGTTGTAGTTTTGGAAATCCAATCCCAGTATCCTGACAGTGCAAAGGTCAGCCATGCTCAGGAAACAACAGCTTCAACAGCAGCAGCAGCAGAGCTCCTCAAACACTGGCTCAGACGAGGTACTGCATGCTCTTACTGCAGCACTGTGAAAATAAACTCCATAAAAATGATCACAGATTTGCAAGATTGTCCAAATCCCTCTGTTTATAAGTGTTTGTTGTGCTCTTACCTGCAGGACTCTTCCAGTAGTGATGAGTCGGATGATGACTCAAAGAGCAGGAGTAAAGGGTGAGTGACTGTCTGTTTGGTGTGGAAACCGTCTGCATTGGTGCGTCACATGAGATTACACTCTCGCTCTGCATCTGGTTAACATTGACCCTGGTGCTCTGTGTGTAGGTCTGGTTCAGACTCGGACTCGGGCTCTGGTTCAGGAAGTGGCTCGTCTGACTCTTCAGCAGAGGAGAAAGGGAACAGTGACGAGTCCGTGTCAGACTATGAGCCCAGTCACAAAGTCAAGAGCAGAAAACCTTCAAACAAGTATGGTTTTCACATTAATCTTGATTTACCTATGCCATTTTATGCAGGGTATTTTTCACAAAAGTCCTCCATTGTTTAGTGTTTTTTTTTTGTTTGTTTTTTAAGTAAACATTAAATCAAAATTCACCTTTTCTGTTAATACTTTTTTAATGAAAAAAAAGATGCATTTTTGCAGATTTTTTGCTGATTTTTGATTGGCTGCCTGCTGGTGGCTTTTTTAGAAATATAGTAAATATAGTGGAATTGGTTAGTCTCAAACCAGTTGTTATATTTTTACATAGTCATAATGGATTTTAGTTTTATTTAGCATAAGAAAATACCCATTATGCAGTTGCATTTTGAAATATCTGAAAAATACTTATTCCTTCTACTTGGCCTCTAACCAAATTTTTCCAAAGGACTTTGATTTGTCAAATTTTTTCCAAAGTCAATTAAGCTTTGGTTGTGGCTTATCATGAGTAATTGATTTCAATACCTGCTTTTGTTAAGTTTAAAACTATACTTAACCATTTTGTATCCTATTGACAAAGCATAGTACACTTGGGCAGTGGGCACATACCAAATTTTTGTCAATGCAAGAGGGCATTTTACCAGAAGAAAATCCTCAAAGCTGTGCCACTGCAACCAAAACAAATGTATCCACCGTGTCCACTGGATCTATGCTTCCAAATTTGCTTGTTTTGGTCATGTTTTTTTTCCATATGTGCCTGCACCCTAAAGATGGTGCAGGGTGTCGGCGGGTCCTTAAAGTGTCTTAAATGATGTTTTCCTAATAAAAGGCCTTAAAAAGTCTTAAAATGTCTTAAATTCAGATTCGATGGGTCTTAAATTTTTGGTAACATTACCGATAAAATATTTTGAGTCTGACAACAGACCTGTTTTTTTTTCTTCCCCCGCTGTAGTTACTGCAGAATACAGGCCGAACTACCTTCTTTGTTTATAAAATATTTTCAATAATAATAATAAAGGTTGAGCTACAGCAAGCTGACCAGCCTTCTAGCTAGTTTTAAATGTTTTTTTAAAACCTAGCCTAAGTGACAAAAAAATACCCAGTGAAGCGTCGAAATGCGGGAATGATTCTTCTGATTTTATTGCATTCAGTGTAAGCCGCAATTGAAAATGGATAGTGTATTTGTGGCATCAAGGTCCGCGCTGTTGAGGCACACTCTGTTTGTCTCTTTGCGAGACTTAAAAACAAATGAGCTTAACAGCACACATAAAGAAACTCAGAAGAAACACACTGAGGTAAAAATTCTAAATGCTTAGTTTATTCATAACATGATATAGTTAAGTAACATACCATGACAATGGAGCTATTTTGCTGAATATTCTTATGATTGCAAATGATTTTAGTTCAATAAACAAGTGGGCTAGTTAAGTAGGCTAGTCAAATAGTTACTAAGTTACTTACATTTTAGACACAGTATTTACTGTTTTGTCCTATTTCACCAACGAAAATAGTTGCAAACAAAGATCACAGCAGAAGTATTGCACAATCTCCAAGCAACACTCCATGGTGTTGTTACTGAATGATTCAGCTTTTGAACTAATCGGTTGAATGACTCACTTAAGTGATTTACGGCCACCTGCTGGCAGGGTTGGGCAGTGTACATGTATTTGAAATACAAAATACTATTTTGTATTTAAATTAGTGCTGGGCAACGATTAATCGCAATTGATCGCATCCAGAATAAACGTTTTTGTGTACATAATATATGTGTGTGTGCTGTGTATATTTATTATGTATATATAAAGACACACGCATGTATATATTTAAGAAAAATTTTGTTTATATATTAAATATATTTATATATAATATCACACAGTTCACATGCATATATTATGTACACAAAAACTTTTATTTTGAATGCGATTAATCACGATTAATCGTTGCCCAGCACTAATTTAAATACATTTAATATTAGTATTTTTGTATTTTCAAAATACATAAAATACTTTATGCCAATCAACCTCTTTATTAGACTGCTGATTTCCTGTATTTGTATCAAGTATACAAAAATACTAAGATTAAATGTATTTAAATGCAAAATACATTAGATTTTTTTTCCAACGGTATTTAAATAAAAATAGTATTTTGTATTTCAAATAAATGTATTTGAAATGCTGCCCATCCCTGCCTACTGGTGGTTGAGTATGTTGAAAAGTATGCACCCCCCCCAACATTTTTTTATTTGTATATGCATAAATGTTTTTAAAACATTAATCTCATAACATTACTTATTGTAGTTGTACTTTTGCAGTGTAAATTATTTAATCTGACTGGTAACAGCCCTATAGTGTATATTGAATTTATTGATAAATTGTAATAATTTGACATGAAAGCTGATACATACATTTAAAAGGTTAACAATAAGCCTTTGTAAAGGTAAATACAAATATGCAGGATTAAGTATGTAAAACATGATGAAAATATTGCTTCAGAATAAATTGTTTACACCACCAAAAATCTTGGTGATGCGGTGCTTTTGTGGGGATATTTTGTATGGAATATTGTCTGCTGATATGAAAACTTCATATGTATCTCGTAATAATAAATAGCATATTTCGATTTCTTTTTACATCAAACACATTCAATATTACATATGTATGTAATATAATGTGCATTTCTGTTACATGTTTAGGTCTTAAATTTCATACAATGTGGTATTAAAAAGGTCTTAAATTTAACTTGTTCATATCTGTAGAAACCCCGTGGTGCCACTTTATTTAGTTTTCTGTTGCTGAATGAATCTTTGCTCATCTCATCTCTCAGGGCCAATGCCAGGAATGGGAAAAATAGCAAAGCTCCCAAGAAGAAGCCCTCCCGCTCCTCCTCAGATGAAGAGGACGATTATAAAAAAGCTCTAGCGGGACCTCGGCGGCAGGCCACAGTCAATGTGAGCTACAAAGAAGATGAGGAACTGAAGACTGATTCAGATGACCTGGTGGAGGTGTGTGGAGAGGACGTCCCACCGCCGGAGGAGGACGAGTTTGAGACACTGGAGAGAGTTATGGAAGTGAGGATAGGCCGGAAAGGAGGTGAGCACAAGAAATGAAGTACGTTTTGTATCTGATAACTGTTCAGTCTGTGTGACGTGAATAAATCCACACAGCTTTCAGTGGGCAGGACTGCAGGTTCAGTCTGTTTCTCTTGAGGCAGAGCGAAATGTGAAAACACATTCAGCTTGGGAGAAACGTTTAGAGATGTATGTTAAAGTGTTGTCTTGTTCTTTAACAGCAACTGGGGCCGTAACCACGGTGTATGCAGTAGAAGCAGATGGAGACCCCAACGCCAACTTTGACCCCAGCAGACAGCCAGGAGAGGTGCAATACTTGATGAAGTGGAAGAACTGGTCCCACATTCACAACACCTGGGAGACAGAGGAGACGCTCAAACAACAGAACGTGAAGGGCATGAAGAAACTGGACAACTTCAAGAAAAAAGATCAGGAGAAAAAGAAATGGTATGATTCCTTTAAAGATACTTCATTTCGTTTAGGTGACGTGGCTTCCGATGCTAATTTGTTCTTACGCTGTCGCACGTAGGCTCAAAGCTGCCTCGCCTGAGGATGTGGAGTACTTCAACTGTCAGCAGGCGTGGTGCCACTTTATTTAGTTTTCTGTTGCTGAATGAATCTTTGCTCATCTCATCTCTCAGGGCCAATGCCAGGAATGGGAAAAATAGCAAAGCTCCCAAGAAGAAGCCCTCCCGCTCGTCCTCAGATGAAGAGGACGATTATAAAAAAGCTCTAGCAGGACCTCGGCGGCAGGCCACAGTCAATGTGAGCTACAAAGAAGATGAGGAACTGAAGACTGATTCAGATGACCTGGTGGAGGTGTGTGGAGAGGACGTCCCACCGCCGGAGGAGGACGAGTTTGAGACACTGGAGAGAGTTATGGAAGTGAGGATAGGCCGGAAAGGAGGTGAGCACAAGAAATGAAGTACGTTTTGTATCTGATAACTGTTCAGTCTGTGTGACGTGAATAAATCCACACAGCTTTCAGTGGGCAGGACTGCAGGTTCAGTCTGTTTCTCTTGAGGCAGAGCGAAATGTGAAAACACATTCAGCTTGGGAGAAACGTTTAGAGATGTATGTTAAAGTGTTGTCTTGTTCTTTAACAGCAACTGGGGCCGTAACCACGGTGTATGCAGTAGAAGCAGATGGAGACCCCAACGCCAACTTTGACCCCAGCAGACAGCCAGGAGAGGTGCAATACTTGATGAAGTGGAAGAACTGGTCCCACATTCACAACAGCCAATCTGTTTGTTGTCAGATCCGGACACATGAATGGATGCATCCGCAGACCAAACGACTGAAGTTCAACGTTCTGCTTACTACATATGAAATTCTGCTGAAGGATAAGGTACAGCTTGAGCCGAAAGCCCAATTTAAAGGGCACCTATTATGCCCCTTTTTACAATATGTAATATAAGTCTCAGGTGTCCCCAGAATGTGTCTGTGAAGTTTCAGCTCAAAATACCCCACAGATTGTATCGTATCATTTTGAAAATGCCTATTCTGAGTGGAAGCAGAAACAGGCTGTTTTCGTGCGTGTCTCTTTAAATGCAAATGAGCTGCTGCTCCCCGCCCCCTTTTCCAGATTAGGACTGTGCCTTTAGAGCTCCTACCGCAGAAACTGCTAAAAAACATCTGTTTGGTTTTGATTGTCGCGCTGAAATCATGCGTTTAAAGCCCTATTAGTTTAAACTTTTGATATGCGGTTTTCTGAGCGCACAGAAAGCAGCTGTCACACGGCATGTGAGTACTAAACTAAGTTCTCTTTCATGTCTTATTGCGCTTAAACTGTCAAATACACAAGTTTGTTAAAAACATAATTTGCGTAAACAGTCTGTTATGTGTGTGAAGGTAATCAGCTGGAATGAAATCGCATGTTTATATCTGATATGTGTATTAAGCGACAGCTGCGTAATATACAGTACCTATACTGCTGTCTACGCTGCCTGTTAATAAAACCAAAACAATAAAATAAAAGCAGAAAATCACTCACTGCTCTGGACTGAATAACATCTATAGCTGTAATAAGAAGACATGTCTTCTTAAATGCTGCTTTTAAATGCTCTAGCGTGCAGATAAACACGAGCGGATTGTGTGCGGTTCACTCAGGGTCTGCTAATACAGCTGTGTCCTTCAACAGTCGTGGGCGGGGCTTGTAAAACGTGACATCACATTTTACAGATTCTGCGAACGACTTGTTCTAAGACACTGCTTATGATTTATGGTGATTAAAAAAAGAGCGGGTGGATTTTTATCATTATAGGGTGGTTGTGTGCACACACTGCCAACACACATTTATATTCAAACAACATGTGCCCTTTAATGCATATGATATATTAATATCTATGTAAAAGAGAGGAATTGATATATTTTCTCTTGCAGTCCTTTTTAGGAAACGTGAGCTGGGCGTTCATTGGTGTAGACGAGGCCCATCGGCTGAAGAACGACGACTCGCTCCTCTACAAGACTATGATTGAGTTCAAGTCCAACCACAGGCTCCTGATCACAGGCACACCCCTCCAGAACTCACTCAAAGAGCTCTGGTCTCTACTACATTTTATTATGCCTGAAAAGTAGGTGTGCTCTTGTCATATCAGTTCAGTATGTAGCCACAGACTTCATTGTAGCAGTGCTGCTATATGCAAGTGAACTTTTTTCATGTGGTATTTTGGTAGCTCTTGTAACGCTTTGTGGTTTGTTTCAAACTCTCAAGGCTGAGTACCATAGAGAGAAGAGTTAACCACATTCTTGTATCGGTGTAATACAATGTAATAGTCAGATGTCACTGAATGAAGGGCTGATATAAGCTGGCATGTTGGTAGATTTCACTCGTGGGAGCTGTTTGAAGAGGAACATGGCAAAGGCAGAGACTCTGGCTATACCAGCCTTCATAAGGAGCTAGAGCCCTTCCTGCTGCGCAGAGTGAAGAAGGATGTGGAGAAATCTCTGCCTGCCAAGGTGGAGCAGATCCTCAGGGTGGAGATGAGCGCTGTTCAGAAACAATACTACAAGTAAGACAGCATTTAGAGTAAAGTGTTGAGTACAGTAGAGAGAGACTGCACAAACACAAGCTTTTACAAGACGGCATGGAATCACCATTTTACTGTATTCATGTAATTGGTCTTGTCACTCTATATCCTAACAAATGGTTGTGCCTGAAGAAAATCCACCTTGGCTATATAATTTCCACTTATATCCAATCTTACAATTAAATGGCCATAGATAAATCATTATTTTGTGTTTAGGTGGATATTGACGAGAAACTATAAAGCCCTGAGTAAAGGCACTAAAGGAAGCAAGTCAGGCTTCCTCAACGTCATGATGGAGTTGAAGAAATGCTGTAACCACTGCTACCTCATCAAATCGCCTGAGGACAACGAGTTCTACAACAGACAAGAAGGCCTACAGGTGGGTTTTCACCCCCAGATGGAAAGCACTAATTAGTCAAAATTGTAATAGCCACAAATATAACTAGGTTATAAAAATAAATAAAGTATTTACTATTTACACGTATATTTTCACAATGTTACGTTGAAAAATTATTTCTTTAAAGGTCACAAATGTGACCCTGGAGCACAAAACCAGTCTTAAGTCGCTGGGGTATATTTGTAGCAATAGCCAACAATACATTGTATGGGTCAAAATTATTGATTTTTCTTTTATGCCAAAAATCATTAGGATATTAAGTAAAGATCATGTTCCATGAAGATATTTTGTAAATTTCCTACCGTAAATATATCAAAACTTAATTTTTGATTAGTAATATGCATTGCTAAGAACTTCATTTGGACAACTTTAAAGGTGATTTTCTCAATATTTAGATTTTTTTGCACCCTCAGATTCCAGATTTTCAAATAGTTATCTCGGCCAAATATCGTCCTCCTATCCTAACCTCATCAATACATCAATGGAAAGAGTATTTATTCAGCTTTGAGGTGATGTATAAATCTAAATTTCGAAAAATCGACATTTAAGACTGGTTTTGTGGTCCAGGGTTACAAATGGTTTGGATAAAATATAATTTACATGGAAAACGTGATTTATTGCATGATGCTTTCTCACACCTGGTAGAGCACAAAATTTGAGTTTTATTTGCGAACGGTTTAACAACATTGCTTCCAAATCCCCTAAAGAGACTGTTTGTGCTTCCATGAGAAACTTTTATGTAAAAGAAAACGTTCAGCATGCTCACCGTTTACCAGTTGCGCTCTGTTTTTCCTGCACACATAAAAATGTTTTTTGTGCATTTGCAAAAATGTCACTTTAGGGCAGTGGCTCTTAACTGGGTGTCAAGGGAACGTAGGACCGTTTAAATAAATTATTTTTAATATATATATAAAAAAAAAGATCACATTAAATTAAAATTCCCTCACTAAGTGTCACTAAGCAGACATCCTAGAAAAAACCTGTCTGGAGGAATTTTGATTATTGTGTTGAACTTCTGCGTTAGGCGCTCCATAGTGAAAGGCAAGTGTTGATCTTTTCAAAAGCTCTCTCTGGAGGAAAAACCTGGTCTGCATAACCACAGCTAACCAAAACTATATATATTGTCTGCAGCACCTTATTCGCAGCAGTGGGAAGCTGATTCTTCTGGATAAACTGCTGGTTCGGCTGAAGGAACGAGGGCACCGTGTGCTTATCTTCTCCCAGATGGTTCGGATGCTGGACATCCTAGCGGAGTACCTGAAGTACCGGCAGTTCTTATTCCAGGTGATGGCAGGACTCACTCACTGGAGTTAAATGCACTGTTTGTGGCTCAGGTGTGACTTATGGAGGTGTTTGTATTTGTAGAGACTGGATGGTTCCATAAAGGGTGAGATGAGGAAGCAGGCGTTAGATCATTTCAATGCAGAGGGCTCTGAGGTATGTGTGAAATCGCTGATTATCGAGGGTTTAAATATTCGTTCTGGTGTTGATTGCATTATCATTGTCTAAAATTGTGTCACTTTGATCTGATTAAATTATTTTGGTACGATTCACATTTATTAAAATAATAAATTAGGCTTTCGGTTCACAATATGTCAATGAATGGAAAGTAATTATGTATATTCTCCAAATATTTCAAATATAAAGTGTAATTTGCTGAAAGTTTGTAGATTTAAAAAACAAAAAAACTAGAAGAATCGAGGTTTGCGGTTGTCTCTGGCAGGATTTCTGCTTCCTGTTGTCCACGCGAGCAGGTGGTCTGGGCATTAACCTGGCCTCTGCAGATACAGTGGTCATTTTTGACTCCGACTGGAACCCTCAGAATGACCTGCAGGCCCAGGCCAGAGCGCACAGGATTGGTCAGAAAAAACAGGTCAGCCTCCACATTAGCATCAACTCCACACATTACATGCCGTCAAACCAGCATATGTTACATAACTGATATATTAGTCAACCTTCTAAAAATATTTACCTGATATATCAGTTATGTAGTGTATGCTGGCTTCATTGCATGAATATTGATTAGAGCTGCACATGTTGCAGTATATGGTGATTACAATCTCTTATTATGTTAAAATTGTAACAGTTTTTCATTGTAATCTGGTGACTGGTCTGACGTCATAATGACAGTAGTGATATTGATTAATAATAGTATTACTGAAAAATCATGATGAAATTTATCTCCATATTAAAACCTCAGTTGCCCTGACAGTTAATTAAATTTTTCTTGAATTGTTCAAATATTGTTTTCTGGAACGTTATGACCCTGGAAACTGTACATGGCAGATTTTGAAATGCTTAAAAGTGCACCATAAATGAGTAATGCTCATAAACGGCTGTCTCAGTTATAACTAAATGACCTGGCAACAGTATTAATTACATCATGACTTCATTTGCACTAATTAATCTACACATTTATTCTTTATAATTTAGTGTAGTTCAGTACTGTAAATGTTTGTGATCTTCTCTTTCAGGTGAATATATACCGTCTGGTGACAAAGGGCTCGGTTGAGGAGGAAATTATTGAGAGAGCCAAGAAGAAAATGGTGTTGGACCACCTAGTAATTCAGAGGATGGACACCACGGGGAAGACTGTGCTTGACACGGGTGCTGCTCCTTCAAGGTAGAGCTACCTAACTTGACATAAACACTTTTATTTTTTATTGAAGAACATGCAGAAAAAAGTGGAAATTCTAGTGTGTACATATAAATGATGGTGTGTTATTATTGTTTGATTTCCTGCAGTTCCACTCCATTCAACAAGGAGGAACTGTCAGCCATCCTGAAGTTCGGTGCTGAAGAACTTTTCAAAGAGTCGGAGGGAGAGGAGCAGGAGCCTCAGGTCTGTGGGGTTTAACTCTAGGGCTGGGCGATACACTGGTATCGTCTAATCGCGATTATTCAGACAACCGCGATTATTGTGCTTTTTATACGACACGAGGGGTGTCATACACCAAAAGAAACAGAAGAGCACCAGTTTGCTTTTCATGCACTGTATAGCCTATACAGGGCTCCAGACTCATTCTTCCCACTGCTCGCTCTTTTGCAACTAACTTTCTCAGCTGGTCGCACGAGCACATGATTTGGTCGCAATATTTTTTTTTTTTTGCGCTACAACATGGGATTATTCAATGCATGCTGATGAACTTTTATCATAGTTTATAGTTATATGGAAACGAAAGTGGTTAACATTCAACCCGTTCTTTATCATCAGTAGTATTATTTGTGATTTGAATTTTGGATGCTTCGGATGCTTTCACTTTCGAATTCGTGATCTTGTTGTCACTGTTTTGCTTAAATACATCTACACACCTTTCATTTTTTTAAGACTAAAACAAAAGATGGATTCATTGTTATTCTTAATTAAAAAACACAACAACAATTAACATCATAATTATTTACTGAACCCTTAAATTAATCACAATTATATAATGAAAGCCATAAAAACAGAGAATTAATCATGATAATCGGCGTAATCGTCATAATCGACAAAGCCCTAAAACAGACAATTAATGGCAATAACCGTGACTATTTTTAGACAATCGTCAGCCAAATTTCATAATCGTGACAGCCCTATGTTTAAGTGCTGCGGTTTAAAAACAAGTGTTTTGAGTGCAGTAAGCAGTGAAATGTTTGGAAGGTGTGCGCTCTGTCTGAGAGCTGGTTTGAGCGCGCACATAAAGCCGTTTTTCCTACAGCGCGCAAGTAGTGAACTGAGCTCTGGACTGGTGTTTTATTGGGCTTAAATGGTCAAATACACACTTGTGTCAATGTCCTCTTTGTGAGTCTCCCTGTAAAACAGTTGGTTTTGTGTGAAGTGAAAGTGAACAGTTCTGAAAGAAAATGCATGTTTATCAGATAGGGCTGGGCGATTTCCCTGATTTTGATTAATTCGAATTTAATGTTTTGCCACGATTTTATTTTTTAGAAATCGAGGAATCGCGAAAAAGAGAAAAGAATGATCCGACCGCATGTCGGCGCACATGATTAACTGCTCTGTGTGACGCGCTCTTATCGCTAGGCACCGTTCACACAGAATGCACTTTTGTGTTGACAAAGATGCGACGCTGCAGTGGAATAGGAAAAACATGCAAGAAGACGGGAGTTAACTTGAGCGCTGCGTTTTTAAAATGCCGTTTCATGCATGAGACGCTGCAAGAGACGCGAGCGCAACACATTAAACACATCCATGTTCACATAGAAAAACAATAGGAAAAGCATAGTCTACTGGTGTTATACCTTCAGGCATTTTGAATTTGAATTACCTTGACTTTTGAGAATTTTTAAAGCATTTTCCTCGTATTATTTCTGAATATATAATATGTATAAGACAAGTTTGTACAAGATGTAGTTGTAGTTCATGCATCTTTTCTGCAAATATATTTAACAAGTGATTTGTTTAACATTTACATCATGTTGACAACTTCATGTGTGCTGCACTTGGAATGTGGGCTGAAATAAATCCCGGAAAAGATAAATTCGCGGCTTTTGAGAATCGATATCACATCGATGTCATTTAAAAAAACGATTAATCGAAAAATTGATTTTTTTGCCCAGCCCTATATATTAGGTCTGCGCGTTTGGTCTTAAAGGGACAGCAGGCTAATAAACCTGCTGCTGTCTGTGTCATGAAAGTTAATCAAACAACAAAAGAGAGAAAATCTCACTGTTTTTGACTGAATCACTTCTGTAACTTAAATAAGAGTAAATCTATATTTATTTGATTTAATTTACACGGTGATGACTATGCAGTGTTTTTTGTTTGTTAGTTTGTTTGTTTGTTTGTTCATAACATACAGTTTTCGTATTTCTAGTGCTTGGAGGGTTTTTTTTTTTTTTTTTTTTTAAAAGGGACAGCAGGCTAATAAACCTGCTGCTGTCTGTGTCATGAAAGTTAATCAAACAACAAAAGAGAGAAAATCTCACTGTTTTTGACTGAATCACTTCTGTAACTTAAATAAGAGTAAATCTATATTTTTGATTTAATTTACACAGTGATGACTATGCAGTGTTTTTTGTTTGTTTGTTCATAACATACAGTTTTAGTATTTCTAGTGCTTGGAGTTTTTTTTTTTTTTTTAAGTAGGTCTATTTTATTTGTGTCTGTTCTGTTGTTGTTTTTGTCTTATTGCTTGTAATTAGTTCCTTTTGTTCTTATTTTATCTTATTTTGTTCTTACTGTCTTCAGTAAGCTTGAGATTTTTTTTTACTTATGTTAGGCTAGTATTATTTTTTGTGATATTGAAATTGATGGCGAGAAATATGAAATTTCAATGGTTTCAAATATTTTGATATCATTACACCTTTACCATGCAAAAACAACTGTATACCGTTATCATGACATAGAATTACTCGTATTGTCATATAAGATTTTGGTCCTATTTCCCACTCCTATTTAACACAAACATGGTCGTCAGCGTATGGATACGGACTTCTGTGCAGCTGCTAATGATTGACATGTTTATTGATCTGGTAGGAGATGGACATTGATGAAATCCTGAAGAGAGCAGAGACCAGAGAGAACGACCCTGGACCATCGACTGTAGGAGAGGAGCTCCTCTCTCAATTTAAGGTATACACTTTAAAACGTAAAATCTGTGATCCCCTTCCACATGTGCTGGACCGTCTCAAGAGGCTATCAGTCACACGATTAACACACAATTAAACAATGCTTGCTCCATCTTGCAGGTAGCAAATTTCTCCATGATGGAGGAGGAGGAGATTGACATGGACACCGAGAGGGATGGTAGACATGATATGAACTGGGATGACATTATCCCAGAGGAGCAGCGGAGGAGACTCGAGGAAGAGGAGCGACAAAAAGAGCTAGCAGAGATCTATTTACTGCCCCGCATGAGGAAGTGTGCTAAACAGGTTAGCCAGTCATACAGCGTTTAACAGTGCCAGTTAAATGCTTGGGTTACATCATGAATTATTTCCATTAGACAAAATTAATGGTTAGATGAATGTTATACTTGTCCATAAGAGATAAATGACACGCAAACTAACATACACACCTATTTCTTTGTACTGTTCATTTCCTTTTTTTATACTTTATCAACTTTTCCAAGACATTAACAAAAAGTTTCATACAATTACAAAATTGTATATCCCCCAACCTGCATTAAAACATACATAAAAATAACATACAAAATAGGTGACAGGAATACACTCTAACATTATGTAACCAAATGAACTTGTTAAATGTAAGTATTCAAAAAAAATTACAGAACTAATCTAAAAGATTTGTGGTCTATGCATAATGTTATAAATATATAAAACTAAACAAGACCATAGCATATTGAGCTTCATGCCCTTTTTCTATTTTGTGGTGACAGATCAACTTTAATGGAAATGAGGGCAGGCGTAGCAGGAACAGACGATACTCTGGTTCAGACAGCGATTCGGTCTCCGACAGAAAGAGGCCCAAGAAACGAGGAAGACCTCGAACTATTCCAAGAGAGAACATTAAGGGTTTCACTGATGCTGAGATACGCAGGTAAAGCAGATTCAACACTAGGGGTGAAAATCTGTGGAAAAAAACACTATGCATTTAATTTTTGGATAATCTAATGACACTTCACTGTGAAATGTATTAATTGTTTTTCTTCACACAAAATGTATATATTCTATTATAAAACGGAGAGTTCCGGTCCTTGATTCTGATTGGTTGAGCCGTGTTCGAAGCTGTTGTAAATTACTCTACAAACATACACTTTTGTTTACTTCTGTGTGTTGCTCGGCAACCACTTTGTTGGAACCACAACTGTTTCTGAGGAACTACATTGTTTGGTGGAAGAATACTGTTTTTATTAATATCATTACACTTTATTTGCTCTGTTTTATTCTGTGAAACCTAACTACGTATATGGAATAACCGTTTTATAAAAGCAATAAGCCCCGCGAAGCCGTGGTTTACAGTGAATTTATAACAGCTAAGGGGCGTTGTTAGCTGTTATAAATTAACTGTAAACCACGGCTTCACGGGGCTTATTGCTTTTATTAACATTACAGTGTAATCTTGAATTATTGTATTAATACATAGTCATGTAAAATTGCTTAATTTTGTATAACTAATGTTTACTAAACTTTTTTCCACACAGGTTTATTAAAAGTTATAAAAAGTTTGGTGGCCCTTTAGAAAGGTAGGTAGCTGTTTTTCATAGCTTCATATGGTAGCAGTTGCACGTCGGCCTCTGTCATTGATGTGAGTGTCTGTGTTTTACAGGCTTGACGCTATCGCTCGCGATGCTGAGCTGGTGGATAAATCAGAGCATGATCTGCGGCGGCTGGCTGAGACCGTACACAACGGCTGTTTGAAAACGCTAAGAGAGAACCCCTGTGGACCCGAACGAAGCTCAGGCAAGAGCAGCACAAGACCACACTGACTGATTACTGAGGAGTCTGTGTAAACTAGGGCCTGCAGGGCGTGAAATTGTGGCTGGGTTATTGTGTTTTGTGCATTTCACTCATTCCACATAATCCTGCAGTCGTGATGCGAGATTCATGCCTCTGGGTTATCCGTGTCATCCTTTTCCACCCTTGATGAAATGAAAAGCACATTTAATTGCATGGGTGCAGTTATAACATTTTGGATGTCATTATATTGCATGAGTAAGACAATAGTAAAATCTTTGCACTCCGATCAAAGTGAATAAATTCGTCCTAATATGAAGCATTCGGGATGGGAAATCCCCCTCCCTCTTTTAAAGAAATCCATTTGGAGGCCTGACTTGATTTTGTTCTGTGCTGGTTCATATCAGGAGGCAGGCGAGGGAAGGTGAAAGGACCCACCTTCAGGATCTCAGGGGTTCAGGTCAATGCTAAGCTGGTGATCTCTCATGAGGAGGAACTGGCACCATTACACAAGGCCATTCCCGCTGACCCTGAGGAGAGGAAGAGGTATATTAGCATTCGCATGAGTGCATTGCAATCCATGCAACCCTAGCCTGATTTTGACACGGTTTTGCTTTTGTTTGTGTTTGTCTCAAATGTCTTTTTCTTGGCTTTGCTGCAGCAGCGTTAAGTTTGAAGTAGTTGTTTTAAAAGAGCATGCATTCAGTTGTAGGTCATTTTATACTTTGTGAGGGCAGAAAAATGACTTGTTTTACAAGTCTTGAATATTTACAGGTATATAATCCCATGCCACTCAAAGGCAGCTCATTTTGACATTGAGTGGGGTAAAGAGGACGACTCCAGCCTGCTTATTGGGATTTATGAGTACGGTTATGGCAGCTGGGAGATGATCAAGATGGACCCAGACCTCAACCTCACACATAAGGTGCAGAAACGCATTGAGAATCAGTGGTGTTTGATTTAATATGCCATTACACTGTTCTGTCCTTAGTGATTATGTATGGCACTTAAATGATAACGTGTTGCAGCTCCTTCCTGATGACCCTGACAAGAAGCCACAGGCCAAGCAGTTGCAGACACGAGCTGACTACCTCATCAAATTACTGAGCAAAGACCTCGCCAAGAAGGAAGCACAGAAACAAGCCGGCACAGTGAGTCACGCAGATTACACACAATCCTCTCAAATTACTGCACAACATCACTTGGCTCACTAAAAGCAGACGTAAGCAACAAACAGTGTTGTGTAAAGTGGCTAAACTGTAACTTATAACAATAACGTTGTCTGTGAACAGCTCATATAATTTCATTTGCTGTTCAGTGCTTTATTGATCATACAATACGATCACTGTTGTTCCTTCTGCTCTATAGGCAAATTCACGCAAGAGAAAACCACGGGGCAAGAAGAATAAAGCGGTAAAGCCGAAGATGGATGACGTGACGAACAGTCTGTCCTCTGCACCGCCATCAGATAAGAGCTCTGAAGAAGAGGAAGAGAAGGAGGAAGAGGAAAAGGTTTGTGTTGCTGTAATAGTGCTGTTGTGTTTTTTTTAAAGCTAAAACCGCTAAAGCTAACAAGCCATTTCAGCTATTAAGATAAAAACTGACACATTTCTTAATTTACTCCCTCAATAGCTGTCAGTTTTTATTTAGGAACCAGGGTTCTCACGGTTGTGGAAAACATGGATACATTAAAGAATTCTCAAAGATGAGAATTCTGGACCTGGAGAAGTCATGGACATTAATCAAATCTTAAAGGTGTCATATGATGCAGAGCCCGAAGAGAAGGACATAATGGAGAAAGTGGTCAAAAAAGAGATTAAGAAGGAGAAGAAAGAGGAGGGTCAGGACAGCAAAGAGAGGGAACCAAAAGAGAAGGAGATGAAATCCGAGCCTGAAGAAGAGGCTCCTCCAGGTGTAAGCGAGGTCTGATACATCCCGACTGTAAGACATTTCGTGAAGTTATAGGAACAATGTCGCACAATGTCATACCACTTTTTGCCAAAGCCAATTTTGTGGCTTTGGATGCTCACTTCTCTGCTTCTTAAGCCTTTTTCCTGGAGTCTAGCAGATTTATCAGTATACTACTAATTATAAAGATTTAAAGACGAAATTTTTTTTTTTTACCAAATTTACTTGGACAATTGTCTCTTGTCCACAATGAAGATTTTAATGACTTTCTCCAACTCTGATACTCTGATCCAGCTCAGAACATTTCTAATGATATTTTCCATGCTCCATTCCACATTGGCAATATTTAAAAATAAACACTGTCTCTTGCAATTTGACAACCTTGATGAAAGAATAATCGCCTGTGCTAAAGTGTTTCTTGTGTTCTTCCAGGAAACTCCTCCAGCTAAGCCAGCCAACAGAAGAGCATGTGTGTCAGAGCGGCCGGTAAAGGAGGATGAGGATGAAGAGTCTGATGAGGACGAGCCCGAGGATAAAGAGCCTGAAGAGAAGGACATAATGGAGAAAGTGGTCAAAAAAGAGATTAAGAAGGAGAAGAAAGAGGAGGGTCGGGACAGCAAAGAGAGGGAACCAAAAGAGAAGGAGATGAAATCCGAGCCTGAAGAAGAGGCTCCTGCAGAGAAGGTCACAATGCTCATAATCACACAACCCTTAACTGTGGCCTTGTTTTTAAACCTAGTGAGCTGCCTACCTAGAAAGTGTTTTTGGAAAGCAAAGGCACATTACGAGTCAAGCCTACATCCGATTAGCCGATTTTCATCTAGTTGTCTTTTATGGATCGTCCACTTTTGCATGCTCTCCATCTCACTCATTCAAACAAGCACGCTCTCAATCTCTCACTGACTGTTTCGGTTATTAATCATATCTCTGTAATGTTTTTCATAGCAGTCGAGATATGTGTAAACAGTGTTATTTCAGCAAGCTTTACGTGACCGAATCGGTCAGTCTGTCCCTCTTTTTCCATTCTGAATCAATGAGTATGACACACCTTTGACAGATTTTAGCAAAAGCTGGCGACTGATGGGAAACACTGACTGAAATAGTTTGTCAACTAGGCCTTCAGTAGCCACATGCCAAAGACTGCAAATATGCTGTTCTAGGCAACTCGCTAGGTTTTAAGACATTCTAGTGTAATTTTTGTCTTTGTATACAAATATACTCTCGGGTACAGCATTTGCATGAATTGTTATTCAAAAGCCGTTGACGGTGTTCTCAGGCTGTAGAGGTGAAAGCAGAAGTGCGGGAGAAGAAAGCTGACACCCCTGTGCACACGCCCTCAGGAGGAGATGCACTTCCCCTGTCTGACGAGTCTGAAGAACTGGACCAGAAAACATTCAGCGTGGTGAGTTTGTGGGGGTTTTCCTAGCCAATTCTCAGGCTGAAGCCTTATCTATAGTTTGTGGAGAACTGGAATGCGTCACGAAGTGAGTGGCTCCGGTGAGGAGATAACCCTATTAAAGGGGTCATGACATTGATTTTTTAAATTATTTTAATGTGTTACTTGAGGTATACTTATAATGTTAATAAAGTTTTTGGCGCAAAAAAAAAAAAGATTATATTTAACCCTCATTCTGACCCTCTCTAAAACGACCTGTTTTAAGGCTTGTCCGTAATCGGCCACTGTTATGATTGGCTAACATCACTGCATAAGAAACAGTATCAACGCCCCTCGCTATTGCATGTGAATCGGGGGGCAATTCGGCGTCAAGCATTGTTCGTTTTTAGTTCGTTTTGAGTTTTCCATCTTTTCCTCACTTACCTTCTTTTTGAAATAGCTTAAAAGAGCTTTGTGCGTTTTACTTTAACACTTTCAAATTAGCATAAATTCAGTGTCAATTGCTTGAATTCAATTCAAGCAACAACAAAATGGAGCGTAGAACATAGAACTTTTATTAACAAAACGAATAAAAATACACCATGCTGTTGCGTTGCGCCGCGTAAACATAAAACAGAGTATCAGAGTGATCAGAGAAATGACAAACAACAAGTGCTAACGTTAATCCACACTGCCCAAAACTCGCGTTTGAATCATCAGTGGCAAATGATAAAAGAAAACGTAACAGTATCAACGCCCCTCGCTATTGCATGTGAATCGGGGGGCAATTCGGCGTCAAGCATTGTTCGTTTTTAGTTCGTTTTGAGTTTTCCATCTTTTCCTCACTTACCTTCTTTTTGAAATAGCTTAAAAGAGCTTTGTGCGTTTTACTTTAACACTTTCAAATTAGCATAAATTCAGTGTCAATTGCTTGAATTCAATTCAAGCAACAACAAAATGGAGCGTAGAACATAGAACTTTTATTAACAAAACGAATAAAAATACACCATGCTGTATGCCTAATATAAAATAACAAAACTTGCACAAAGTTTAGGTATACAAAACGGAATATCAGTAAACACTGTGGAACCAAATAAATAAGAAACGTAGAACGTTTATCAGCAAAACGAATAAAGAGAGCTTGGAGGCACGGCATACTTGCTGTAAAAAAAAAAAAAAATTTAAATAAAATAGTTTAAATAAATAAAAATCAGCAAACACTGGAACCAAATAAATAATAAACGAATGTTTAAAAAAAACTTCCAATATCACCTTAGATAAATGGCAGAAGTCAACAGGCTTTTCAAAATCCCAAATATTTTTAAAACAGGCGCTTTTGCATGTTGTTTTGAAACTCTTGTCAGCGTCTCCTCACGTGACGAATGAAATCTGATCTGTGATGCGACTGTCGTTCGGCACGCTGCATTGAGCAGCCGCGTTCAGTTTTTAATTGTAGTGTCTGTTCTTTTACTGAACTAAATGATTTTTATTTCTATAAAAAAATAAATCAAAATGACGGTGGGGGCGGTGCCGCGGTGAGCAAGTGACGTAACCGGTGTTGCGGCTTCACACCGGTAAAACCGTCAACACCGACTATCGCGGCAAGCCTATCCACTTGTTCCTTACGCTGGGGTCCTTCTGATATCTGTACAAAGATGTGAATGAGCTGTTTAAACCAAACGCGTCAAAGCGAACGATCTTTCACTGCACTTCTCCTGATGACAGACTCGAGCGTGGACGGAGTCAGAAAGTGAACACGCATCTGTTTACTGTATCCAGTGTAGACGATAGCTTTTGACGTGACGCGACACTCTGCATAATCAAGTGTCAGCCGACTGAACACCAGTGGGCGGGGCTTATGGTGAGAAGACTATTCGGCGATGTCTTGCTCTGGAGGCGGTGTTTATGCAAATGATTATGACCTCTTATATACCAAGGCAAATTTGATTTAAACTTAAGTGGTTAATAAAGATGCAGACTGAGCCATTTTTATTTTTATTTTTTTTGGAAATTAGCCATTTTGTTTGGCCCAAGTATACAGTTCACTAGGTTTGGTACAGAGCTGATGTCTCATTTTCTAAATGACATTGATGTGAGGTGATTGCACTGGAATGACGCATCTGTATCGTGTGTTTGTCAGTGTAAGGAGCGCATGCGGCCGGTGAAGGCAGCACTCAAGCAGCTGGATCGTCCAGAGAAGGGTCTGTCTGAGCGCGAGCAGCTGGAGCACACGCGCCAGTGCCTGATCAAAATAGGAGATCACATCACCGAGTGTCTGAGAGAATACACCAACCCCGAACAGATCAAACAGTGGAGGAAGTACGGCCATTTCATCAGCAGCTTAGAATGCACAATATATAAATGAAGGTTAATATTGAGTTTAACCTTGTTTATTTCCAAATTCCAGAAATCTGTGGATATTTGTTTCGAAATTCACGGAATTTGATGCAAGGAAACTGCATAAACTGTATAAACACGCCATCAAGAAAAGACAAGAAAATGCTCAGGTACGGACACTGTTTTCAGAGATTCTGTATTATGGTAGTGATATTTTATAATGTTTTTGCTGAGTTGGTATCTATTGCTTAATTACATTATTTATATCTTTATCTTTGGAATATTATAATTGAGGTTTGTGATGTTTGTTTCATTTCAGGCAGTGGAGCAGAACACTAGCTCTGTAAATACACAAAGCTTTAAACATGCAGGTATGTCTGCTCTCCATTTAGTGTTAATTGATATAGGGATGTAACGGTATGAAAATTTCTTATCACGATTATAGTGACCAAAATGATCACGGTTATCAGTATTATCACGGTATTGTTAAAATGTGCTGGAAATGTTCAAAAAGTACTGACACACAAATCATTTCACCAAGTTTTACATTTAAAATCAACAAACAACAAATTAAATGAGTTTTTGTTTGCATAACTAAAACAGTAACATTACTAATGATGTCCGGATTTTAAATGACAACATGACTGACAACAGTTTATCTAATAGCATGTTCAAATATCTAATGTAAATGTTCAAATAAAGCTTTGAAAAAGTTTCGTAAATGGTAAACCTCACATTTCAGCTTTTAAATAAAGAAAAGGGTCAAGTCAAAATGATAATTGATTAATAAATGATTATATGTGCTCCAGGGTCACATATGATCTCAAAATCTCAAAATTACCCAATTTTCTAAACTCATTATATTGTGAATGATTCATCCATCATGCATGCTTGTTTCATTTATCATCAAAATGTCACATCTTGATTTTCTAATGTAACTGCATCTCTCTGGTGACCTATACTGCACTTATGTAATCATTTAGTCTGCTTAAACCCCTTTTTTAATATAGACTGAGATCTCATTCAGATCTGCTTCTGTCCAATCAACAACCGATGGATAAACCACTGCCCTAATTATTTTTCTGACAATCTGGTTCTCTTGGATTTACGTCACAATACAAAGAAAAGATCTGTTGCTGCTGCAGCTTTAATGGTGTATGGATCATGCCACATTTCTGCTAATCTGTTACACTGAATGCTGTTGTTTTTGTAGATGTTGAGCGGATAAAGGAGTCCCAGCAGGACGACAGCAGCAGAGACAGCTACAGCTCTGACAGACATCACTCATCTCGCTACCATGAACACAGCAAAGATCGGCACGCTGGCGACTCGTACAGGAAGAGCTCCGATGCCAGGAAGAGACCCTACTCCTCCTTCAGCAACGGCAAAGACCACCGAGAGCGAGAGAGAGACCAGTACAGAGAGAGAGGAGAGCGACAGGACAGCAGGTGCTTTTAACTATAGCAGCGTTCACAAATGCAGCTTTCTTCATTTTTTTGAATGGGGTGATTTGCATGAAGCACATGACATGCAGGGAAAAAGACAGGATATCATGGCCACAAACTAATTTGTTCCCTCATTTGAGGTAAATTGTGACCATGTTGTGCTAATTCGTTCCCTTGTTTAAGTTAAATCTTTGCTATAAACAAGGGAAAAATTATTAAAACCTGACCACGATTTAACTACAAGGAAACAAAGTTGTGAGAACAGATTATGCCATTTCTTGCCAAAACATTAAATGTAAACTAATGAACTGTGTATGAAAATGCAGTGAATATAAACAGTGTTAAGGGATGAACAATATTATTGGCCAGTAAAGGCTTAAAATTAACTCCTGGTATCTTCCCATTAAAAACTATAATGATAATTTTTGTTAGAATATATCATTCTAGATATATAATTCTATATATAAATTGAAAATTCTATATATGTATAATAGAATTATCTTTAATATTGGCAGATTTCCTTTAAAGGTATAGTTCACCCAAAAATGTAAATTGTCATCATTTACTCAACCTTGACTCGTTCCAAACTTGTATGTGCTTCTTTCTTCTGTAAACACATAAGAAGATATTCTATTGGTAACCAAACAGTTGATGGTAGCCATTGACTTCCATAGTATTTTTTTCAATACTATGGAAGTCAATGGCTGCTGTTACATCTACAATGTTTTAGTGCTTTTCCTGCAGTTCCTAGATCTGCAAGGTTGAATTTCTTGACCACTAAAAGTGAATTTGCAATATAATGATAAATGAAATATAATGAATAGATATAGAACTAAACTTTTAAAAGTAAATGTTCTTGGATTTATTAATTTAAATATACAACAGACTAATATTTGTAAACATGGAATGTGTAAGACCAATGTTCCCTCTAATTTTTTTCTTGATGAGCAAAACTTTTCTCTATTGGGCGGACATTTCGTCCACCTGAGCAAAAACATTCTTTATACCAGACCTGTACAGCGCGCGCACAAAAAAAGTGCATAACTTTTAGCTTTAATGTGCTATTTATATTTGATTTGACCCTTGATGTAACTAAATGATGCACATTTTAGGTTACCTGAGAAAACATTTTTACAGTGCTGTTACCAAAAAATCCTATTAAAAATCATTTAAAAAATCTCAAGCAGAAGAGTTCAATTCTTTATTATAATATAATGTAATATGAAAAAATGAAGCAGATATTGCTAATAAATTCCTTTTGAGGTTAGTTATCATCAACATCTCTATGTAGTAGAGTTTGCACACTACTACACCTGTGTGTGACTGTAAATGTCTGGGGGTTTTGTTACCGTTCTGTGCCCATCATTCGCTATATTTCCACCACTTAATCAAGCCATTCTGCTTTAAAACATGACGTTTTATTTCACGTCATTGCGTTTGCATTGGCTCTTGTGTTGAGCTATTTCGTCTGCAACCGTTAAAGTATTTGATTTGTACAGGGACTGATTCGGCGCACATCATTCTTTCTATGAAACCTGTAAACCGCATTCACCGGTTCTAACTTTATAGCGAGCGACACCAACTCTATAGTGGTTTGCCCGAGCATTGCAATTATTTCGCATTTACTAGAATCCACTCAAATGGCTTTCCCAACTCTGTGTGCGGTATATTATTTATTCTGCACGGTCGCGACTGATGGTGTGTTCACATTCGCATCTTCCGCACAAGTTCAAAAAAATTCAACATGAGCGGAAAAGCTTATTGACACGTCTGGTTGAATCAGAAATTGGAAGAGAGCATTATTGTAGCCGTCTGTGGGCACCCTGAAATTTATGATATAGTTCTGGAGCATAGAAAACAATTAAAATCAGCTGTAGTGGTAGGCTAATTGTATTTTATTAGCATGGCTACAGAGATGCTGCTATCAATAAAAAATTTGTTATCTTATGTACAGTAGTAAAATGTAACATTAATGCAGGATCAATACTCATCCGTCTCTGGATGGTGCTTTGAAACCAGACACGTCGGCGTTTGGCTTTCCTGCGTATTTGGGACTTTCACAACAGGTACAAAGCAGCGATCGTAGTTATCTCCACCATGGTTGATCGCGCGATGTTTTTATTCGCTCGAGTGACATTAAAAAACATCCCACGAGTAATCTAGAGCTAGTGACGCGATGCGCATATTCGCTTCGCGTTTGGTGTGTGAACACCATTAAGTATACTTCGTTTTTGTACGCTAGCGTATGCGTACAGTCGAACGCGTAGCCTTTCAAAGTATACTCCATTTGAAGTTGCGAACGCGAGCGGTCAACACATGCGCTCTAGAAAGCTTCATCCATGTTCAGTGTCTGCTCTATTTTTCCCCATTAAGTCATGACTGATAACAAATATTTTTGAACTCTTTTAAACCAAAGCTGAGCTGTCTCATACCCTCTCGCTCACAAGCGCTTGTCAATGTGAACGTCTGTTGTTGAAGTCTCTGCTATTTTGTTGTCGTTGCCTGTCTCTTTAGTTTCATTTTCTACTGTGAAACAACGGCCCGGGACAGTGTTGCCACCATGTGGAAAAACTGATTACTGCAAAATAACTTCAGTGCGCATGTGCGACCTGAGCGTGCAAAGTATGCGCGGTTACAAAAATCGGGTGGTGCACGTACTGTTCTGATTTGTTTTTTTACTTGGAAACAGATGAATCCATGTTTCACTGTCACGTGCGACACTGGATCCGGACATACAGCCGTATATAAACGCGACGCAGCTTATTTAAGAAGTGTTGAGTGAAAGGATGCTACAAACGCGTGTCGTCTTTATCCGCTGAGGGGTTTCTGTTCTGAAGGACTGGGGCTCACCTTCCAAAGTACCTCGTTTACAGTGTTTTGTGACCATTTTGCCAATTTTTATCTGTAATTTTTCTTTCCATCATGCTTGAATTATTTAAATCTGTCTCGGCTGTAAAATAATCTGGACTATTTTTAGTGCGCATCAGATAATGTCACTTTTTCCACATTGTACTACTGTAAATTATTGTATAAAGTAAATCAAATGGGCTTTTCTCAGGCTGGTATTTTTTTAACTATTTCCCCATCGACTCAGGCTATTTCCTCTCTTCTTTGGTTTTTTTGACGTTTCTTAATCTCAGTAGTTTTGAATCATGAAATGGGGTAAATATTCCACGTGTATTCGTTCTGTAGGATCGTTTGGTTTGTTGATCTCCTCTCTGGTTTCTCTCTATCTGTAAGTGAATTGGCCTCACTTTATAACAGCATCATGTCAAAAAATACAAACTCTGTAACAAAAAAAAGGACATGAAAGGGTCGATCGTAGCTAGAGGCACTTATGAGCTCTCCTTAGAACATTTCCATGATGATCTTTCCTCTTGTTTTCTATAAATGTTGGCAATAATGTAATATTTTCTATGCAGCCCGAGTAAGTCAGAATGCTGTTACAGGACATACTGATGTACATAGATCTCCTTCTATATTTCAAATCCAAATTTACACTGAAAATGCATGGATTTTTAAAGTAATTGTTTTATATAATTGTTTATAAAGTCATTAAACTCAAATCACTGTTTTCACCTGTAATCTGGCTTTAATGTAATTTAGTGTGCTTTTCATGCAATCGTTTTCAAAGTAGATTTACGATTCGCAAGCATTTGACGCTGAGGTGGGTTGCTGTTCGTCTCTGCCAATGAATGCAAACTTTTCAAAACGGGTTTGTTTTTGGGTAAACTTTGCAAACTGTTAGTTGTTGCTTATTTGAATACGATAGATTGTAATGCCAGGAAACTGTGGTGTTCTGAGTAAGCCTCTAGAGGGAGCTCTAGTATGTGAGTTAGGTTTGGTAAAAGAATGACGAGAGGTGTACACGAGTGGTGGTGAATAAAGAAGGTTACACTGAGTTCGACACGGCGTGCAGTTGCTTATTATTGAGACACTCAACATATTGGCGACGAGGATGACTTTGAGTCTAAGCCAACCCACCCCGTTCCTGCAAACACCGGGAATAGTCACCACAGATGCCTCAGACTACGGGATAGGTGTTCTTACCCAGATACACGCAGACAATACGGAGAGAACAGTGGCTTTTGCCTCACGCACTCTTACCGCAGCAGAACGGAAGTACTCCACAGTAGAAAAAGAGGCACTAGCATGTGTTTGGGCCACAGAGCGCTGGAGGACCTACTTGTAGGGACGACACTTCACACTGCGGACAGATCACAGCCCGCTGACCACCCTTCTGTCATCTAAGGGTCAAGGCAGAGCAGGTATGCGCATAGCAAGATGGTCAGCTAGGCTGATGGCATTTACCTATGATATTCAGTATAAGCCGGGGCATGAGAATGTGACTGCAGACTGTCTATCTCGCTTACCACTCCCTAGTACTGAACCTAGTCTGGAACATGATTTGGAAGTCGTAGCAATGTTCTTGCTGTTCTGTGAATATTGTGTTTGAGTACTGTTCTGTGATGCTTATACCAAGTGTTTGGAATTTGCATTACGGTACCAATATTTGTTAAAAAGCTTTGTTTGCAAATCACAATGCTGGGATTGGAAGGTTGCAAAGAGAAATTCAATAGTAACTTGTATCTTAACTTAACTATTTGCACTGAGACTTATGTCCCTATAGTACGTTTGTTCTTAAGAGAGAGGGATATGTGGTGTTCTGAGTAAGCCTCTAGAGGGAGCTCTAGTATGTGAGTTAGGTTTGGTAAAAGAATGACGAGAGGTGTACAGGAGTGGTGGTGAATAAAGAAGGTTACACTGAGTTCGACACGGCGTGCAGTTGCGTATTACTGAGACACTCAACAGAAACTTTGAGTGGAAGCCAGCCAAACAGATGTCTGTCACTTTTGTCAGCAGTGCATTGCGTCATTTACCATTTGAACTATATTCCTCTCTACTTTGAGCCTGTCGTTTGATGCATGTGAACTACAACTGAACATTTCCATCTGCATGTTCTCATGCTCCAAAAACGAAAAACTCTTTTTAGACTTCCATTGCATTTCTTCTGTCTTGTGTGGTTACGGAAATGGGCAGAAGTGAAAACACTAGTTTAGTGTAGGACGAAAAGCTTGCTTAGTTTGCACCTGTAGTCCAATCAGCGGCGCACTGACTGTAACAGACTGAGGGAAGTGATGAGCCTGTGTCTTCCAATCGTTTAATAGTTGACGTCAAATGCATGATTCGTATGCTTACAGTTTCACTGATGTTATCAGAAGAGACATTTCTACCAACAAAAATCTTATCACACATAAATA